ATTTCATGGCTGCAGTCACCATCTGCAGAGATTTTGGAGCCCCCCCAAAATAAAATCTCTCACTGTTTCCATTGTTTCCCCATCTATTTGCCATGAAGTGATGGGACTGGATGCCATGATCTTAGTTTTTTGAACGCTGAATTACAAGCCCATTTTTTTCACTCTCCTCTCTCTCTTTCGTCAAGAGGCTCTTTAGTTCCTCTTCACTTCCTGCCATTAGGGTGGTGTCATCTGCATATCTGAGGTTATTGATATTTCTCCTGGCAATCTTGATACCAGCTTGTGCTTCATCCAGCCCAGCGTTTTTCATGATGTACTCTCCATATAAGTTAAATAAACAGAGTGAAAATATACAGCATTGATGTAAGCCTTTCCCAATTTGGAACCATTCTGTTGTTCTATGTACAGTTCTAACTGTTGCTTCCTGACTGAATGTTTATATCCCCCAAAAGTCCATATGTTGAAGCCTAATCCCTAGTGTGCTGGTAGTTGGTGGTAGGACTTTGGGGAGGTGATTAGGTCATGAGGGTGGGATGATTCTGATGCATGATGTTTCCTCACAAGGTCTCCAGCAGAAGTGACCCCAGGTAACCATCATGTTAGCCTGCTCATCAGTGTCCTCTATATTGGCATTTGTCCCTTCCCCAGTCTTTCTTGGGATCACTTCCTACAGCAGAGATTGTCTTCCAAAGATGGTCCCAACAGTATCTCTTTTGTGGGAACAAGCTCTTTTAGAACCTTGCTTCACTTTCCATCAAGAAATGGAATCTCTGTACCTTCCCTTGAGCCTGGCTGGGGGCAGGGTGGTGGTATGACAGATCCTACAAATAGAACACCACAGAAATGATGCCATGTGACTTCTAAGACTAGACTGGAAAAGGCCATGAAGCTTCTGCCAAGTTTTCTTGGGACACTCATTCTTGAAAGCCAGCTGCCATGCTATGAGGAAGCCCAGGCCACATGGAAAGGCCCCGTGGAGGTGTTCCGGCTGACAAGCAGGATGGTCCAGTGCATGTGTAAGTGAAGACACCTCAAGATGATTTTAGCTCCAGCCATCGAATCACCCCCAGCCATTGAATCACCTCTCAGCTGATGGCCCAGATATTGCAGAGAAGAGACCACCACTGCCCACGGTGCCATGCCTGAATTCCTGACCCACAGAATCTGTGAGGATAATAAAAATGGTCGTTTTATGCCACTGCATTTTGCAGTGGTTTGTATTACAGTGATATAATAACTAGAGCAGCTCCCCAAGAAAGTACCTGCAGACAAGTCCCAGTTTCAGAGTCTACTTATGGGAGAACCCAAACTAAAACAAAAGAATATTGTTAGATCCCAGAATTTCTCCAGCTTCCAGTCCCACACTTACATTAGCCTCAGTGGAAGGTACCTCATCTTAATCCCAACACAAAGGTCAAGTCTTCATGTCATTAGTTTATGGGTGGTGGTGCTGTTCAGTCACTCAGTCGTGTCTGACTCTTTGCGACCCCAAGGACTGCAGCATGCCAGGCTTCCCTGTCCCTCACCATCTCCCAAAGTTTGCCCAAGTTCATGTCCATTGCATCAGTGATGCTATGGATAGTTTAGGGATAGATGGGCCAAAATAATGGAACTGCTGACTGGCCAGGTCCTCCTCCCCCATCAATCCTCCTTTCTCAAGGAGTCTTCCCCAAAACCACACAGGAAAACAAGGTTGAAGTACCAGGCCTTGCCAGTTCTGTTCAGGGATCAGAGCCCATGAACGTCAGGGGAGGGTAAACCTTCTTGAGTCCAGAGGTAAACGTCAATTAAGCTAAACCAATCAGTGTAAGGCTTCCGAGGTGGCCCAGGAGTAAAGAATCCAATGCAGGAGACTCAAGTTCAATCCCTGGGTCGGGAAGATCCCTCCTCCTGCCATCCCCTGGAGGAAGAAATGGCAACCCACTCCAGTATTCTTGCCTGGGAAATCCCATGGACAGAGGAGCCTGGTGGGCTATAGTCCACGGGATAACAAAGGGTTGGACACGACTGAGCAACTGAGCATGCATGCACACAATCAGGGTAATTCCACTCTCCTTGCCAGGGACGGTTTAGGCATGGAAGTATGATGAGACACGAGGAAAACACTCCTGGCCAGAAGGGTAAGGAAGCAGAGGATGGTTACTAAAGGTTTCTTCAGTCTTAAAAAGAGGGGTAAAGGGATGTCAATGTCCTAACTTCCACCTTTGAAAGCTGTTGTATACAATGCTTGAAGCTACAGCAAAATATCTTGGGACCATGAGAGGCAAGCATGAGGATAAAAACAAGAACACGGAGGATGATGGTACAAAAAGCTGGAAAAGAATCTGACATTGTTCAATTACCTCTTCACCAATCATGGATATACCTGCCTCCAGAAATCTTAATTATGTGGAAATACAAGTCTTCTTAAGGCTTAAAATTCAATTTTGAGTTGAATCACAGGTATCTCAACATACAGAATTTGTTGCCAGGAGTGGGGGGTTCTCACTGGGCAAACTATGATGAAAGATTCAGGACAACTCTCCATTTTTCCATCCCAGAAGCTGTTCCCTCGTTTCTTCTTACTTTCTGAAAGGAGGAAGTGGTTCTAAGGGAACAACTTCCCTCTTGATGAAATTCCCTAATTACCAGTAATTTGGGGGCTGAGGGGAAGCCCAGGTGGCTCAGCAGTAAAGAATCCACTTGCCAGTGCAGGAGACACAAGAGACTCGGTTTTCATCCCTGGGCTGGGAAGACACCCTGGAGAAAGAAATGGCAACGGGCTACAGTCCATGGGGGTCGCAAAGAGTCAGACATGACTGAGTGACTGAACACACACATGTGCTAGATTCCTTTCTAAACACTCTGTGTTACTTTCATTTACTCTCCCTGGCAATTGAGAGAGGAAACCAAGACACAGAAAAGTTGAGTGTCCCACCACAGACACACACACACACACACACACACACACACACACCACACTTGCTAGTTGGTGGCAGAGCCAGGACTTAAATCCATCCCATTCAAGTGACTCCAGATCCTATACCCTAAACCACCACCTGCTTCTTCCCTGTTTTCCCTCTCCAGAACCAAGCCACTTTCCAGTATGAATAACTCCTCCTCCAGGAAGCCTTTCCTGGTTCTCCTTCAGCACTCTGGGTGTCCATGATGAAACCTGTCACCTTCCTTGATTATCACTATGTAAGCACTGATTTGGGCTTCCCCGGGGGCTCAGTGGTAAAGAATCCCCCTGTAATGCAGGAGATGCAGGTTCGAACCCTGGGTCAGGAAGATCCCCTGGAGGAGGGTATAGCAACCCACTCCATTATTCTTGCCTGGAGAATCCCATGGACAGAGGGCCTAGCAGGCTACAGTCTACATGGTCGCAAAGAGTCAACCACGACTGTAGGGACTTAGCACACACATTGCCCTCTAACAGCCGTTATCTCCAAATGTTTTCACAATCCCCTCACAATCATTTTACAAAAGAGAAGACTGATGCTCTTGCATCTTGCCTGAGACCACACAGCCCGGGAGTGGCCATTTGGGATTGAACCCAGGCCAGTCTGTGCCAAAGTCTTAATGTTGCCACAGATGCTATAAACACCAGCGATTAAAACCAGGAGCCTCTGCCTGCCTCCCTCTGGCTCCAGAGGACACTGAGTACTGAATCTGGGATCAAGGGGATAGAGCGCTTTAAAGAGAAGAGAGTGGGGATAGCAGTCGGCATGTTTGGACCTAAGTCACGGGCTTCCCTGATAGCTCAGTTGGTAAAAAATCCACCTGCAATGAAGAACTGAGTTCTATCCCTGGGTTGGGAAGATCCCCTGGAGAAGAGAACAGCTACCCACTCCAGTATTCTGGCCTGGAGAATTCCACAGACTCTATAGTCCATGGGGTCGCAGAGTCAGACGTGACTGAGCAACTTTCACTTCACATCACCACCACCCCTTGCAGCCCTGGTGTCCTCATCTGTAACCAGGCCTGAGACTCTGAGCTCAGATAATCAGACTTTCATTTCCAGCGGCCCTACCTTGGACAAGTGCTTCAACAACCATGTCAGCTTCCTCGAGGCGCTGTGGGGATGAAAGCAGACAGTTATTGTGGAAGTTCAGGGCAGTGCCCACACACTGTCAGCACCATTCCAAAAGGCTCCCTGGGACTTCCCTGGTGCTCCAGTGGCTAGGACTCCATGGGTACAATGCAAGGGGCCTAGTTGGGCCATCCCTGGTTGACGAACTAAATTCCACATGCTGCAACTAACACCCAAAGCAGTCAAATAAATATTTACAAAATGTTCCTTGGAACCCTGGTTCAGCCACTTACTAACCCCATGACCTTGGAGGAAAATCACTTAAACCTCGCTGTGCCTCAGTTTCCTCATCTGTAAAATGGGAATAATAACCATACCTAGCTGGTAGGGTTGTTTGAGGTTTAAATAAGGTAATGTACATGCAAAGTGTTTCGAACAGTGCCTGACAGAACACCACATTCAGCAGATTCCTAGTATTACTGTCTTTGGTATTAGTATCACCTCCGCGGCTATCAGCACCAGTCCTCCAAGGGCCGGGCGGCAAAGCGCCGAGTTTTGCCGACTCACCGTCGCTGGGCACGTCTGGCCCCCTCTACCCTGTGCCCCCGCCTTGGGCCTGAGTCACCCCGGAATGTGCGTCACCCGCGCCCCTCCCACTCCACGACCTGCAGACTCACCCTGAGTCAGCCTGCCCGGCCGCTTCCACTCCTGGAACGCCGCGCGGCGGAGGGCAGGCGGCGAGGCGCCCCCCAGCGGAGGGCCGAAGCCCCGCGCGCGTCTGGCAGCCGGGGGCGTGCGGAGCAGAGGTCCCGCGGGGGCTCTCGATGGTGGGCGGGACCATCCTGGGGCCAGGAGAGAGAGACGCTCCGCGCTGCCCGGCTGCACCCCCCCTCCGCCCTCACGGAATGGTACGGCCCGGCCGAGGTTAAAGCCCGAGGGTGGCCGTGGCGCGTCCCGCGACGGCCCAGGCGGCGGCGACGGCGGAATGATGGGTCTCCGCGCGGGAGGAGCGCTGGGCAGAGCCGGGGCGGGCCGGGGAGCGCCCGAGGGACCTGGGCCGAGCGGCGGCGCGCAGGGCGGCAGCATCCACTCTGGCTGCATCACCGCCGTGCACAACGTGCCGCTGAGCGTGCTCATCCGGCCTCTGCCGTCTGTGCTGGACCCGGCCAAGGTGCAAAGCCTCGTGGACACGATCCGGGTGAGGCCCCGGGGAAGCCGGCCGCTGGGAAGGCTTCAGAGGAGGGAGGTCGCACTGGATGCGAGAAGGGACTAATTCAGTTTCAGTCGGAACTCAGCGTTTGCTCTGTGACCTTGAGCAAGAGTTTGGGCCTCTCTGGGTCTCTGTTTTGTCGTGGAGCAAGGAGACTGGAGGAGGTCATTAAAATAACTATCTCTAGCACTTGATATGGGCTTCCCTTGTGGCTCCCAGTAAAGAAAGACTCTGCCTGCGATGCAGAAGACCCGGGTTCCATCCCTGGGTCAGGAAAACCCCCTGGAGGAGGGCACGGCAACCCATTCCAGTATTCTTGCCTGAAGAATCCCATGGACAGGGGAGCCTGGCAGGCTGCACTCCATAGGGTCACACAGAGTCCTACATGACTTAAGCGAATAAGTAGCAGCAGCTTCTTCATACCAACCCTGTAAGGCAGATACTACTATTGTTCCTCTTACAGACAAGGCAGTGGGGCCCAAGAGGATCCAAGCAGCTTTTCCAAGGTCAGGCATTTTAGAAAGTGGCACAGCCTGGTCATTGTGCCGCTGCATGGCCACCACATAACCTGTGTGGTCACTTCTGGTGGTGGCAGTGGGACTGGGGGTGTCCTGTCTGCTGGGAAGACCTTGTTTGAACTGGAACTGGGAGAGAATGGGGTCAGCCACATCTCAGAGAGAGCTCAGGAAGGTCGGGATGATCCTGGAGGGAGGGGACATGAGTTCCAGGTTAGGCCTGCACGGCATCATGTTCCCAGCCCCCAGACCCTCAGAAGTGGCCACAGGAGACTCCGAGGCCCCACCAAACGTCTCTACTGCCTGCCTGTTGTCTTTCGGTCCTAGAGTTTACACTGCTGCTGCCACTGTCTGGAACTGCTTCCCAGAGAGCCACAGGGACTGCTCCCTCGCTTGGGTCAGGTGCCTGCCTCCCAGCAGCCCTGGTTTCTATAGGTCTCCCACTAAGCTGAGTAGTTCGCCTTGAAAGCATATTCAGGTTAACGCCTGAGTTATGTTATCTGTGTGTTTGTGTTTTATTGTCTCCCCTCCCCATCTCATTTGAACTCCAAGGAGCTGGGATTTTGTCTGGTCATAGAACGAGCACGGTGCCTGGCTGTTTGTGATAGATCTGTCCAGGAATACTCTGTCCTACCCCTGGGCCTTTGCACAAGCTTTCCCCCCTGCCAGAAACACTCTTTCATCACTTCTTTACTAACTCCTTCTCAGTCTTCTGTCAGTGTCAGTGTTATCCTTGACAGCCCTTGTAAGGTTAGGGGCCTCCTGGGGGCCCCCAGCCACCTCCATACCTGTCAGCACACCTCTGATTCCGTACAACTGGGGTGTAATGGCCTCAGACACCTGTCTTCCACACCAGCACCATACATTCTGGGAGGCAAAAACCAGGCCTGTCTTTGCTTATCGCATGTATTAGTTTTCTATGGCTACTGTAACAAATTCCAGAAACTTGGTGACTTAAGGCCAAGATTTTATTACTTTACAGTTCTATAGTTCAGAAGCCCAGAATGGGTCTCACTGGGCTAAAATCAAGGTATCAGCAGGGCTGCATTCTTTTCTGGAGTCTCTGGGGGAGAATTCATTTCCATGTCTTTCCCAGCTTCTAGAGGCCACCCACATTTTTGGCTCATGACCTCTTTCCTCCACCTCGGAAGCCAGCAACATTAGATCTCCTCTTGCTCCTCTCTGTTCCACGTTTAAGGTCTCTGGTGATTACTTTTGGCCCATCTGGACAACCCAGGATAATATCCCCATCTCAAGATCTTTAACTTAATTCCATCTGGAAAGTTCCTATCCCTTGGGAGTAACATATTCACAGGTTCCAGGGATCAGGATGTGGACGTCTTTGGGGGCTGTTATCCTGCCCACCCATCCTCAGAGCCCTGACACCCAGCATAAGGCTTGCCTGGTACAACTGCCTCTTTTTGCTGCTGCTCTGCCAGGCAGGCTGTGCTCCACGCCTAACTTAGATCAGCTTTCCAACTTCATCAGCAGCCTATAGGGGATCTGTTCCCATCTTACAGATGAGGAACAAGGCCCAGTGGAAAGGCCCCTTGCTTACACCTCCCTCCCTACCCAACCACCTCCCTCCCCCCACCGGCTACTCTGTGGAGAAGCTGGGATTTAAATGAGCAAGAGCCCCAGCTCATAACTGCTGGGCCTTACTGCTTAATAATAATTTCTGGGATAAATGGAATAATGAATCCATCAATGCAGCCTAATAAGAGACCGCTTTAGGGTCAGTGTGGGAGGCCTTCTAGCAACTCATTTAATTCCGTCTCCCCCTACTCCACCCCACCCTGCCCCAGACTTTCCTGATGTAGAGGTCTACCCACTCTGCATCTGGCACTCAGGCCCTGAACAGGAAGTCAGCTTAGATTCTCTTCTTCCCCTTCTCACACTCACCCCTCCCCTGGGATCTGCCCCCTGAACATGTCGCAAACCTGTCCACCTCTCCCTGTCGTCTCAGCGCCTTCACCCAGGACAGCGTCTTCTGCTGAATACCTGCTGGGGACTCGCCTCTGTCCTCCCTGCTCTTGTCTTTGTCCACCTCACCAAGGCTGCTTTCTCATCACACCTTTTCTAGAATGTCCCTCTTATCATGTCACCCTCTCCTGTTTAAAACACTCCAGGACCTAAGAGGTATAAACTTACATTTATAAAATAAATGAGTCATGTATGAAATGTGCAGTGTGGGGAAGATAGTCAAAAACTACGTAATATCTTTGTATATTGATGGATGGTAACTAGACTCAATCATGGTGATCATTTTGAAATGTATAGAAATATCCAATCACTGCGCTGTGTACCAGGAACTAACATAGTGGTGTACATCAATTATACTTCCAAAACAAACAAACTCTTAGAAAAAGAGACCAGATTTGTGATTATCAGAGGTAGGGGTAGGAGGGGGAGAGGAAGGAGAAGGAAAATTGTATGCAGGTGGTCACAAGGCACTAACTTCTATTATAAGATAAATAAGTACCAGGGATGTAAAGTACAACATGATAAATATAATAAACACTGTTGTGCATATATGTGAAAGTTGGTTAGAGAGTAAGTCGTAAGAGCTTTCATCACAAGGAGGCTTCCCTGGTGGCTCAGATGGTAAAGAATCTGCCTGCAATGCAGGAGGCCTGGGTTCAATCCCTTGGTTGGAAAGATCCCCTGTTAGAAGGAAATGGTAACCCAGGATTCTTGCCTGGAGAATTCCATGGACAGAGGAGCCTGGCAGGCTACAGTCCACGGGGTTGCAAAGAGTCGGACACAACTGAGAGACTAACACTTTAGTCACAAGGAAAACAAGTTTTTTATTTCTTTAATTTTGTACATATATGAGATGATGGATGTTCACTGAACTTATTATAGTCATCATTTCATGATGTTTTAAGTCAAATCATTATATTTATACCTTTAGCTTATACAGTGCTGTTCCTCAATTATATCTCAATAAAACCTTTCTGGCCTCTTCTGTTCCACAGACCCCTGAGTCTATTCTGGTTACACTAGCCTCTCTGCCATGCCTGCAATACAGTGAGCTTGTTCTGGCCTCAGGCATTTTGCATTTGCTATTCCTTCTGCCTGGAATGCCTGTTCCATGGGTAATACACACTGTTTATTACTGAGCCTATTCCATGTGCCAAGTGTTGTTTAAAGCACTGTATATCTGTTAACTCATTAAACCCAACAGTTCTATGAGGTGGTTGTGTCATCTTCATCCCCATCTGGGGCAACTGAGGCACAAATATGAATTGCCCAAGGTCACAGAGCAATTAAGTAGCAGAGTTGAGATTTAAACTTGGCAGTCAGGCTCTTTCTCTAAAGATTCCACCTCTCTGTCTTCCCCAGGGGAGTTCTCTGTGTTGAGGTCTCTGCTTCATTGCCACCTCCATCATTGTCATGACAACCTGTGTTATTGTCTTCATAGCATTTATCACTCTAGCATTCATGTGCCCCATGATGGCAGGGGCTGTGTCTGTACCTTATTCCCAGAGTCTAGAACAGTGCCAGGTAATAAACATGTGGTGTGATAAATGGTTAACAACCTGGGGGTGGAAAGAAGCCCTGATTTGTAGTATCTGGCAATTTCCTTGGTGTAAATACTCTTACCGTGACTGATTTTCATGCTACCAAGGTCAGCCAGCTCACAAAACTGACCACATAACTGTTGCCTCTCACAAACCAGTGTGAGCACATGGAGGCGTTCAGCTGAGGTTAACAAAGTCTGCTTTGCAAACTGTCCAACACCGTGCCACGCTCATTCACCCTGTGTCCTCTTCTTGCCAGGAGAATCCAGACAGTGTTCCCCCGATCGATGTCCTCTGGATCAAAGGGGCCCAGGGCGGTGACTACTTCTATTCCTTTGGGGGCTGCCACCGGTATGCAGCCTACCAGCAGCTGCAGCGAGAGACCATCCCCGCCAAGCTTGTACAGTCCACCCTCTCGGACCTAAGGGTGTACCTGGGCGCTTCCACACCAGACTTGCAGTAGCAGCCTCTTTGGTACCTGCCACCACTACCAGGAACCTGGAAGACACCTGGCCTCCAGTGGGCTCGGACATGCAGAGGTGTAGCAGGAGTGCATTCTGTTTGTGCGTGGCAGGTGGATCTGGCTTGAAGCACCCTCTTGGCTAGCTGCAAGACCTTGGACTCATGACTGAACAGTGTGGGAGCCCCACTTCCCACCTTGGGGGAAATGGGGTCCTGTGTTTGCTCTTGAGGGATTATTGAGAGGCTGAAATGAGAAAGGAGACGGATTTGGAGAGTCATATGCTACTGGCTCCGGATTCCCAAGGACAAAGATCCTTCTGCATTTCTGTCCTTGTATTGTATCGTGTGAATTCATTCATCTGCAAGTGAAGGAAAACCTAGGTTACAGTGACTTAAACAAAGAGAAGTTTCCTTTTCCACATAGCATGAATTCTGGAGACAGTTGACTAATGATACTGGTTAAACCACTCAGCAAAATTAGGGCACACATCTTGTCACTTCTCAGTCACAAGATGGCTGCTGTACCTCCAGCAATTGTGGCTCTGTCCAAGGAAGAAGGGAGTCGGGGAGGAGAAAGGGCCCAGCCAGCTGGACCCATCAGCTTCTATCATAAATTCAGGACTTTTCCAAAGGCCTGTTTCCTGCTCTCTTCCCCTGTGTATTTAGATCAAAATAGACTTAGATCTCCTTGGCCCAAACCAGGTACAGTAGCCACCCCTAGCTGCAAAGAAAGCTAAGACAGCAGGAACACAACTGTCACAGTTGAGTAGATCAATCATTTCCCATCTCCTAGAACTGTCACACAGCCTCCTAAAAAATATTGGAATCCCATTGCCAAGAGAGAAATGAGAAATTGTGTATCAGTTAGCCTTTGCTGAGAAAAAAACAATTCCTGAACTTGGCAGCTAAAAACAAATTATTTGCCTACAATTCTGTGGGTTAGCAATTTGGGCTGGACTCATCTGGGCAGTTCTACTGATCTTGCCTGAGGTCACTCGTGGGATTGTATGCAAATCAACTGTCACCCAAAATGGCCTGGATGATCTCAAATAGCCTGACTCCCTTGTCTCGGCAGTAGGTGGGCTGTTGGCTGGGTGATTTGGTTCTCCTCCAGGTGGCCACTCCACCAGTTAGTTCAGGCTTATTCACATGATGGCATCAGGGCTGAGAGAGGAAGAGAGAGAGAGAGATGTGGGGTGTGCATAGAGGACAGGAAGAGAGAGAAAGATGGAGAGAGAAGTTGCAAGGCTTTTTTGAGTTCTAGGCCAGAACTGGTGTAACATCACTTCTGCTAAGTCCTTTTGGTGTTTGGCTCAGATTCAAGGGCTGGGGAAACAGACTATACCTCGTGGAGAAACTACAAATGATTTGTGGCATGTTTTCTCTCTATCACAAATGACTTTGGATAGCAAATAACAGTGCTTCTTTGTTTCTTGCTCTCTTGCACGGGGCCTTGCTCTGTCCAGGCTGAAGTCACTAAAACACTGACCTGGCCCTGCAGAGGGTAAGAAGTGAGGGGCGGTGGGTGGGTCTCTCCTAGGGCTGGGCCCACTCTGGGAGGGCCCTCAACATCTGTACTCTGGTAGGTTAGGGCGGGTGGGTAGGCCAGGTAGGACACTCCAAAGGAGCTTCTGAAATCCTGTAGTCCTGTGGGGAAGGGAAGAGGCAGAGGAGGGGTGCAGAGTGAGGTGGACCTTACTCTTACTGCACTGCTGAGGGAACTCCATCACTTGGCATTTTCAAACTTCATTTTCTCCAGCTCAGTAATGGAGACAACAGCTTTCCCACCCATTCTCTGTCCCAGGGATTGATGACTGAGGTGACCAATGGAATTTAAAATGGATGTAGTCTTAAATGCAGTGTGATATCCTGGATTGGAACTTGGAACAACAGCAACACAAGGACATTAATGGAAGAACTGGAAATCTGAAGAAGGTCTGGATTTTAGTTCATTTATACAAATGTTGATATTGGGGAAGGCTGGGTGCAGAGTATATGGGAACTCTGTACTGTATTTACAACTTTTCTGTTAATCCAAAATCACTTCCAAATAAAAGTTTATTTAATAAAAAGAGGGAGTAATTGAGTTAAACCAATGGTCTGGTTCACAAAACGGGTTTGCTAAATCACAGATGACCAGACTGCACCCCCAGAGTTGCTGATTCAGGTCTAGGGTGGAGCCTAAGAATTTGCTTTTCCAAGTTCCCAGGTGATGTTGATGCAGCTGATCAGGGACCACAAGCTCAGAACCACTGATCAAGACTGTGTTGCTTTTTTTTCAAGCGTGGTGACAGCCCTTCACCTCCAATGGAGAAGAAAGAGTTGGGTCCCAGGAGATCCATGTTTTGGAACTAGCTTGTGCACCTACTCCATATTACATTGGGCAAGCCCTTTCCTGGGGCTTTTTCCAAGTTGTCTAATGGACTGTCTACCCGGAGGTTTGTAGTGGCGGTTGGGGGCGAGGGAGGGTAGTTGAGGACATGGCTTTCTAAGTTGCTGTCATGACTTGCTGCTTCTCATGTGAGACACCTGCACCCACTGAATAGCAGAGTGGTTACCCCTTCTTGGAAGGCTTTTCCCTCCTACAGATAAGACCCAAGCAGGCAGCGCTAGGAGTACTCCTGGACACTGAGAGGAAGCTGCGGAGCAGACTTGGAACAGGAGGGACTGGTGGTTCTTAAGGAAGAGGTGCTGGGTTTTGAAGCGTGAAACCTGGTTGCTCTCAGTGGAGACTAAGAGCGGCATTTCCCGCTTAGGCCAGCAGATGGCGTTGCTTTCTGGCTGCCCGAGCGGGGTTGGGCCTCCCACCTGCAGAATAACTGCTGTGGGAAGAGGGAAAGATGGAGGGGTCTGACAGTGAAGGATGCCCATAGATTGCCCAGAGAAGCCAGGGCTTCAGGCGGGAGAAGGAGACCTGGCTGGGAGTTTGGAGTTTCAGGTTTGCTTACCCTTGTCGGATCTTGCTCTCTGGCCCTGCAAACATCATGGCCTCTCTAGGCCTGTCATAGGAGAGTAGGGTCTCTACACTGGGTGTGCTGGGCCAACTTATCTCAAACTCACCTCCTCCAAGAAGCTTCCAGATCCTCCAGGCTGAGCTCCATGCCTCTTCTGGGCTCCCCTTGATCCAAAAACGTGTCCCCTCCCCAAACAAACCACTGCCCCAGGGAACTTGGGTCCAGTGAAAGGCAGTGTGTAAAGAAAGTGAAGTCGCTCAGTCGTGTCCTACTCTTTGTGACCCCATGGACTGTAGCCTACCATGCTCCTCTGTCCATGGGATTTTCCAGGCAAGAGTACTGGAGTGGGTTGCCGTTTCCTTCTCCAGAGGATTTTCCTGACCCAAGGATCGAACCCAAGTCTCCCACGTTATAGGCAGACCCTTTACCGTCTGAGCTACCAGGGAAGCCAGCAAGCATGTAGGGACCTCTTATTTCCTGTACTGCCCTGGGACGAACCCCTTTCACCACGGTAGACTTTTTAAATGTTTTCTTTTCACAAGGTAAATGTATGTATATTTACCTTTTAAACATTAAGATAGCAAAATGCTAAATAATTAATATTAACAGTAAAATATGAGAGGCAAGCTGATATCCACCATGACTCCTAGTCCTGGTTGTCCTTCTGCCCTCTCTGTTTGTGGGGTAAACACCTTCATGAATTTGGCATATACCCTTCCAGACCTTTTTCTAAATTTTCTAATTTAGTAGGTGTGTGTGTGAGTATACAGTGTTTTTCTTTTTTACTTAATTTTGCAGGTCATATTTCTTCACTGGTGATGTGCCTTAGTCCTCCACCCCATGAGTGCCTTTGCTATTCTCCCAGAGTCTCCCTCATTCTAGTTGCTTCTTGAAAGTGAAAAAAGCAAAGTGAAAATATGACTCACTCAGCTGTGTCTGACTCTTTGCAACCTCATGGACTGTAGCCCACCAGGCTTCTCTGTCCATGGAATTCTCCAGCCAAGAATACTGGAGTGGGTAGCTATTCCCTTCTACGAGGGATCTTCCCAATCCAGGGATCAAACCTGGGTCCACCACATTAAAGGCAGATTCTTTACCATCTGAGCCACCAGGGAAACCCCCCTGGTTGATTCTCAGAGGGGCCTTTCTTATCACTATTTAAGCTGTCCCCCCTCCCATCATTTTATCAACACACTCGGTTTTATTTTCTTCATGGCATTTATCACACTTCCCGAAATTATCTTTTGTCTCTGTTTATGACTGTCTCATCCACTAGAATGTAAATTCTTGAGGCAGGACTTGATCTGTCTTTTGACTGTAGGCCCAGTGCCAAGAACTGCCTGACAGGGGCCTCCCTGGTGGTCCAGTGGTTGGGAGTCCAATGTGGGGGACTCAGGTTCAATTCCTGGTCGTGGAACTATGATCCCTATGCCACAGGGCAACTAAGCCCCCTCGCCACAACTAGAGATGCCGCAACCAAGAACTGATAGAGCCAAAAATAAATATTTTTTTAAAACTGCCTGACACATAAATGTTCAATAAAAATGCTAAATGAGTAAAGTCCGTATAGGTGTAGCTCATTCTTTTCATTGCTGCATGGTGTTCCAAGGTCTTCATATAACCATGTATTAGTCATTCTGTTAATGACTTTGAGGGGTTACTGTTATTTGCTGCTGTAAACGCTTTCCACCATCATGCTCTGTACTCAATCAGCTTTGTACATAGGAGTGGCACAGCCTGGCCTGTGCATGGGTGTTGGCCAATTGCTCTGCAGAGTGGCTGTTCTAAGTGCCTTTCCCTGAGTTTGGGGTAGGGGTTGGGGGTCAGCTTTCTGTCCCTACACTCCAGCCACTGTTTCTTAACCTGCTTTAGATGGTGAACACAGTTGAGAATCTGAGAGACAACCATGAGCTCCTTCTCCAGAAACACACGCAAATCTGAGGATTTCTGAGGATGCCTCGATTTAAAGGTCTTATCCTCCAGGCCCTGGATCCAGTGTTTAGAATCCTAGTTGTTTCATTGCATGGCCAGGAATGAATGAGGCACA